TATTTGAAATGGATTCTGATCAAATTCAATCGGTTCATCACCCATTCACGCAACCACAAACGGAAATTACATCTGATAACTTATTAGAGGTAAATTAATTTTTCTTACAACTATTAAATTTTTTTTAAACAAACATTTTATAGGAATAATATTTAAAATTATTTTTATAGGTCAAAGGGTTTCATTACGATTTGGTATTAAATGGTAGTGAGGTAGGAGGAGGTTCAATTCGTATACACGATGCTGATCTGCAAACAAAAGTTATCGGATCCATTTTGAATATACCTATTGAGACTATGTCTCATCTAGTTGAAGCATTAAAGTCTGGTTGTCCTCCACATGGTGGAATAGCTTTAGGTAATAACATACAAAATAAACCACTACTTTTTCAATAAATTGTATCTTATAAAATTATATTTTCATTTTTTTTAGGTGTTGATAGATTACTTTCAATTTTGTGTAACACAAATAGCATTCGTGATGTTATTGCTTTTCCTAAAACTTTTGAAGGAAAAGACCTGTTGTCTGGAGCCCCGACTGAAATCACTACAGAAGATATGAAAAGATATCATTTAAAATTTGACAATACAGAAAAAACATAATATTAATAATAAACATAAGTATATTGATTGACTGATTGAAATTGAATTCTTTGGAATTGATTATTTTGCTCACATTCATATAACTGACATTATTTCACCATGTATCACATACATCTACATTTACGCTCTCATAGTGTTTGAAATCAGTTATAACATTTTCTTGAACAGTCAGTTGTTCGATGCATCCTCGAAAATTACTTTTAAATAACTCTTGTCTATCATTTAAGAAGAATTTTTCTTCTGGAACTCCTCCTGTAAAAATATTTGTTGTAAGAAAATATGAACAATATATCTAGATTTATTTATTACCTAGATAAATTATATTATCATTCAAATTGAACGAATCTATATTGTGGTGATATGGATCTGATATCCAATCATCTAATTCTAATGTTATATCTGATTTTGTGACATTCAACCTCACTGTATGCCATTCACTATTGGTTATGTTAGACTTCGGTGCTGACAGTTTATTGGGTCTTTTATAATTTTGTGCCCATGTCACTGTCAATGATCCATTAATTATTCCTAAACCCATGTACCACTCTTCCTTTAAATAATAAAAATAAACATTTAATACTGGAGAAGTTACTAAACAATACCTATAATTAATGGATTGTGAGTAAAGATCATTATAGTGGGTACCTGTGATGTCCAAATTAACAATCCGTTGTCATATACCGTCGAAAAGTTTAAACTTATGAATTGTGTTTCATTATCCACAGTCGCTTCGTCATTACCTTCTCTTTTAGTTAGTGAGGACAGTTTGCTAAGAACTAAATACCCATGTCCTTTGAATAGTGGTGGACCAGTTGGAAGCTCTAAGAAAGAATTACAACATTCTTTTTTTATCTTAGTTAAATATTATTACACAAACATTATATTCTAGTACATATTTTTAAATACTCAAAATACTATTCAAGTACTCTCAGCTATTGGTATCTATATATAACTTTATTCTAAAAGCTTTTCAATAGTGTTTTAGCAATAATTTTATCAGATACTTAATCACTTCTAAATTGAAATATGGAAACCTATAAATTGGTAGGTAATTAAACTTGTTATAAATTGTTTGAACACAGATTTTATTCAAATTTTGTGCAGTAAATTTACCCATATTATTTTGTTTTAGATACAATAACTTATTATATCAATACTCCGCATAGTGTTGATAATTATAATCAAATCTTAGAATTCTAATTTTAATAATCTTAATTCTTTATGTTATGTAACTTTATTTTTATTTTTGGTATTTGATTATTATGTTTACATTATTTTTTTTCATGGCGACTACAGAATCTTGACTTCGGTGAAAAGATAAAGCTTAAAATTACTTACTGAATTAGTTAAATACTCTAAGAACTTAAAAACTGAGTCTAACTTTAATAGATGCTCTAGCAACTACTAATAGCTTAAATATCTATTTTGATCAAAATTTGAACTTCAAATGTTCCTAAAAAAATTGTAAAAATAATTAAATGATTACAACTAGTAAGTAATTCCAGAAAAAAACTACTTAATATAAGAAATTTTTCAAATCTTAAAATCAAAAATGTTGATATATCTCAACTATTTATAGACCAAATAAAAAATTATTATTATTGAGCATTAGACCACCCAACTCAAACTTTAAATGTATGTATTTTATTTTGTAGTACTCCCTAATATTGACACTTCGTTGAAAACGTATCTACCGTAGTAGTGTAGTACAGTAATATGCAATATCGTTTCGAGTAAGAAAATTCTTTACAATATCGTTTTGGAATATACCTTTTGTACAGAACGGACCGTCCCAGCCTGGAGGGCATTTGCACACGAACGATGTGTTGCCACTTTCACTGACACAGTGTCCTTTGTTCTGGCACTTGAATTCGGTGCATGGTGCTTGCTTGCTACAAGAGTCTCCAGTGAACTCCTTAGTGATCAAACCGATATTTATACAATTATATTTATGACATCAGAAATGAGTTCATGACGGGAAAAAAACAAGAACGCACCTGAAGGCAATGGCAGTGCGGTTTCATGTCCATGTCCAACCAACAGCTTCCTCCGTGATGGCACAAGTCACCGCCGCACGGTGTCCCGTCACAATCAGCAATGTTCCTGCCAGCAGCAATCGATGAATAGTTTAGTGTTATTGTCTCGTAGTCGATAGACAGTCTGCGTATGCATCCGGCAAACGGAACGGGAAGTCCGGCCGTGGAACCGGGTGGCATGCGGGACAAATCTGGCAAACCACCTAAACCGAAACGAAAAGCAATTATTACAGGTAGCTTTTGAAGTACCTATATAATATAACGTATGTGTGTCGACACTCGGTGACATCTGATCAAACTGAGTAACACTGTAGTTAGTCCATGGTAAGACCATGTGTTGTGGTCTTTGATGGAGCAAAAAGACACTAAGTCGGATAGGGCCTAGTTCCTAGGACCTGAGTTTTTTTTACTTTTTAAGATCTTCAAGTTTAAAAAAAATACAAAAAAAAATTAGTTTTAAGCCTTATTTAATTTCATAGCATTTGAAATGTTGTGTTCTATAGAAAAATAGAGGAGGAATTGTTTAGAAATGTTCGAATATATTATGGCTTTTATTGTACTATACCCTATTTATAGCATTTGCTTCTTGGAGATAGGTGTCGTCCATAGTAACTATACAACCTATATCAGTGGTGAATATCCTATATCTCAATAACCTTATGGATTGAAAAATATTTCTCCCTGAATTAGTTAATGAGTACCAGGTGGGTAAGTATTAAAAAAATTGTATTAAGTTCGATAGACAGTCAATGGAAAATAGCCACCACTGCAAAGCTTTGCACTATGACTTATTCAGTGCAATTCAATGACTACAGTGTAGTCACTATACTATTTTTTTGCTTCAACCGAAAGTTGGGAAATCCTTCTGAAGTTTGTTGATTTTTAATCAATTGATAAAAAAAGCAAAACGAAGTGGGTGGTTTGAAAAAATACAGTTGTAATAAAAATGTATGTTATAGAATTTTCTCATAGGGACTCGCAAATCCTAAGAACGTCCCTGTATACCTACTACTCACGGGCTCAATACATACCAAAGTATATGAGATTGTCAAAGTTTGAAATGCCCTCCGACGGCTGCAGGACAGCGTAGTTGACCATTCCGTCGACCCACAGATACAGCTTGCGGCGATACCGTCCCACTCTCACACTATGCCATTCCGATAGCGTCAACACTCGACCGCTGCGGACCACTAGCACGTCGTCTTGACGTCGCGTTTCGCCAACTGGAGACATACAGAGAAAAGAATTACTAAAACTGCAGTGATTAAATTGATTTTCAAGCCCGAGGGTGAAAACCATCGTTCAAATTCTTACAAAATTTAGGAGGGCTTGATTAAAGATAAATAATAATCTCGGTAAAAATATTTAAAGAATTGACAAACTAAAAAAAGTTGTTAATTACTGAGGCTACATCCGAGGTGGGTCCCAAAATTAAAATTCCTGTTCTAGTTGGGTCCAAGATTTTATTCGGTAAGTACCTACCTAAAACTAAGGCTTAACCACTTATTACTGTCTATGATAAATTTGTATACACACGCAGGTATAGGTTTTTTCAATAAAAATATAATTTATTAGAATTTTACAAAATATGATAAAAGTATTTAGGTAATACAATTAGTATACAATACAAACAACAAAATATTAAAAATGTTAAAAACCAAATACTACAAATAACTGTTTTCCATTATGAAATACGATCAATAAAAATTACTTTTGTGATGGTAAAAATATATAAGACATACATTTTACAAAATCAAATCATTTTTACTAAATCATTTTATGATTTACAGAAAGTGAAATATCTAGATTAGGTATGTATCAATACTATTGTGGTAAGAATTAAATTAATTATTAATTGTACAACAGTGATATTTTTGAATCGTATTTTTATTATAAAATACCAAATATGTATTATTAACATTTTAAATATTTTTTCGTTTGTATTGTATATTTGTATTACTTACTTAAAATAATTCAGGGCTAGTCCTAGTGTTGGGGACACAACCCGGATGAGCCTGTTTTTGAATAAGTCAACTGATAAAAGTAATTTTTATTTCAAAATCCAAGAATGGATACATATTTTTAATACTCTGTAGTCTATGGATTTTACTCAATGAATTTTTTAAGTAAGGTTTTCGACAATTAAATAGAATATGGATGTATTTAACAGCTATTTGACACTTAGTCAATTAAATTTAAAATGTTATTTTAATATACCTTTATTATATTGTATATCCACTTATACGCAAAATATTCCATTATATTCATTATTGTTATTTACCCATTAGTTGAGTTAGTTAAATTATACTTATTTAACAATATAATTATAACTTATAAGTTATAAGTCTATAACTTTATATAACTTAGAATAAACATTCATATACAATTTAAATGTTTAATTATAATTCGGATCACAATATAACGCTTAATTCACCACATAAATCTGTATAATAAGCCACTTTTGTTATATTCAGTTGAGTAACTTGACCGATAAGAATACATTTTAGTATTAGAAATGCAATTTCACCACCAGATTCTTCACCAGAAAAAAATACTTTATACTTTTAATTCTAGTTTCTTTACTCTTAATAAAATTTTAACGATACTGATTAATTGAGCTTCATTAATAATATTTTAACTTAATTTTTTACGATTTTGAAAAGTAAAAGACAAGGTAGACAAAGTACTTTTTGGAGTTATGTAGAATATTTCTCAGATGTGCCTTGAAACAACTATTAATAGAAATTCAAATTGATTTTTTTTATTACTAATTATTTTTGATTGGTGTTTAAGGCATTATGTAGATTGAAGTTAGTAGATAAAAACTCTAAAGAACCCCGACTTGTTCAGTCAGTCGATTTAAATTGGTTTGCATATGTATAATATATAATTCTTAAACAAATTATATGATCCAAAATTGATACCAAAAAAGTATAAATCTATCTTTAATTTGTCACCCAGAAGAACGCTAACAATTTCGACGTCATAAGGATCCGGATCTTGTCTCACCTGGCACAACCACCACCAACAACACCACGCCACACCCACAACCCTCATCAACATTAGCATGGCCATAACTATTATACCATAATACCTTTTGTATTGTACTTTGAAGCAAACGATAACATAGGTGGGGGTATCGATATATATACATTTCATATTGATTAATTTATAATTCAATTGGCATATTATTATACAGGTAGGTATGCCTCGGATTATAAAGTACGAGTACCCATGTTCTATGTTTGGAATATTTGGGTATACACTTTACCGACTGCGGACATAGAATCATTAATAGGTTTTAAACGAGTTTCTACTGTTAAATGTCTATACATATCTTATAATTTACAGAAAATAATAATCATGCCAGTGTGTGTATTATATTTCCATTAATGGGCCAGAAGAATAAAACAGGAAATCTATTCAATTTATAGGTACATTAGGGAAATACTACCGTTGCTTAAATTATTTGAACGATGGGAAATATACTCATATTGCAATTTAATTTCAACGAGGACAGACGTATCTGTGAGTATAAGCTTAGTTACATTGGCGAAAAACGTTAAATAAAATTTTTATTCATAAAGCAAACACAGTTTCAAACGAATCAAATTGATTTTATTTGCAGCTATTTCAATCAACATGAGTTCTACCGATCGTGATGCAAATTATTACACAAAGCGTCAGAAGAATAATGAGGCGGCCCGATTAAGTAGGTTGAAACGAAAAGAAATCGAAAATCAAACTGAAAAAGAAAAAAGAAAACTTGAAGCATCATATGTTAAACTGCACCGGGAATTACTTCAGATCCATAAAATGAAATTAGATCAGGCGTAAGTAAAAATACTTTATATTATATTCTATACTATACATACAGGGTTATTCACCAAGCATGCTCAACACCTTTTTTTTTTAAATAATACATTAATTCAAATTCAGATTTTTGGAATTTTTAAATATACTTAATTTTTTGCAGGACCCCTTAACATAAATTCGGTTTTCTTTTTTGCTATTTCGGTTTTTATATTAAATTTATACACAAGGCTACAAGCAATTGTATTATTTACTATTAATTCATATAAAAAAATTGTATATGATTGTGTTACAGTTGTAGGACAGGGGGGTCTTATTTTGTCGGGGCCTGGTTATAGGGTTTAATAATAGATTGTTATTGATAAGCAACCAACATGATCGATGTCGTACGACGTAAATTAACAAAAACAATATTAAATGTGTGGACATTTAAAATACTTTTATGATAATATACTATCATCTGGTCCACCAAATTGTTTTGTTACTTAAATTCGTTAAAAATTGGTAATGCATGCACACAGGGCCGTAGCTAAGAATTTTCTATGGGGAGGGTTCAGTTCCATAGATAGAAATTTTATAGAGGATATTACTATAGGAAATTGCATTGAGTAAAACATCAAAATAGTGAGAGTAAAACATTATATTTTCATTATAACACTAAGTCAATTTTTCTCGGCTTCTTTGCCATTTCATTTAATACTTCATCTGGTGTGATAACAACATTTCTATAATAACTCAGTAACACTAAACCATTAAAACCATTAAGACGATCCTGTTTGACAAACAATTCAATAAAATGAAATCAAAATAATCAGGTTAATTAGAATTTATTGTTTATACATAATTATTAATTATATTATTGTATATATATTATATATATAATATATAATATTAATATTGTGCAGTCACAACTCACAAGTCACACACGAAAAGTGCCCTCTATCTATGAGTTATGACCGTTCTACGTGTACGAAAGGCTCCGTAATTCGACGAGAAGATACGTTTACGCTATCATACACCTTGTCACCTTGAGCACTATACTATAAATACATACATAAATCGATTATCGATCATAATATAGATATATAAAGTATTTATTATTTATTCAGTTAAAAAAAAAAGATTTGAAAATTTTTTTTTAAATTTTAGAATTAACTAGAAATTTTTAAATTTTCTATTTTTCTAAAGGGGGGGTTTGAACCCCTTACCCCCCCTGTAGTTACGGCCCTGCATGCACATCTTCCCATTTTTCCTTTAATAATGAATTTATTCAAATGCTGATTTTTTGGAATTATTAGATATAATTTATATAAGTAACTTCTCAAAGGCGATTTTTTCAAATTTTTAATTTTTTCTACTACTCAAGGAGAACACTTAGCAATTACTAATTATTGTATAGTTGTAAAATTCTTTTTTATCTTATTTTTAACAAATTTTCAAAACTTAAGTTAGCTCCTGAATACGGGATTTGTACTATTCCAACAAGCAGTGGTGTAGCCTGGATTTTTTTCTTGTGGGGAGGAATTTTCAGCCCTTAAGCCCCCCCCCCGTGCGGCACTGCTATCGTATAAGCCGTTAGTACTTAATATACCCATAACCTATTATAAAGGAAAAACAAGAATATGTTATTTAGTTTATTCATAGACTCATCGTAAATTGTAGAAGTTAATGAATAATGATTCTACACTTTCTGCGGATTATTAAATTATATAACGTGTACCTACTCCTCCCATTATTGCAATTTGTATAGTACACAACGAATACTGAACATTTTAATGATAAAATATTAAATGACGGGACTATTGATAAAATAATAATTACTGTAAAAATTATTGACCAATTAAATGTTAACTGCTTAAAATCATTAATATTATTAAAATAATGATATAATTCAATAATCATAATAATATATAAATTAATCGATTTTATTTTGTAATACCTCCAGGGCAGTAGGGCTCTAGCATTACTTAATTATTAATTAGCTCTAATATTTTGTTTTCAGATTAAGAACATCATGTTTAGAACAATTAAAACGACAAAGTTAATATCATTGGTTGTATGCAAAACATCGGTATAGTGAATATTTTTGGTATGTTTTTTTGTAAGCACCGATGTTTTTTTTATATCATTTGTCAACTAATTCAAAATATGTAGTTACAGCGATTAATAATTTTTCTTTTCTTTTATATACTTAAATTGTTTACTTATGATTACACAACTAATGTAAAAGTTTCAGCTTTAACAAACAACAAAAATTGTATTAATTTAAAATTAAATATATCATTTTAACCTAAGTTACTTTTTCATTTATAGTCTATAGTTGCCTCTATAATTATCACTTTTTCGTTGGTTTAAGGAAATATTGGTTTTGCGTAATAATCATTTTCGTTTTTCTCAATTATTTTTAAGTGTATATTACTATAATATAGATACTGAGAACTATTTTATTTTGACTCCACAAAAGAAATACTAAATCTAATTAGTTACAAGAAACCACCAACTGCTTTAGCTATTCATAAAGTGACGCCAAGAAAACAACATACAAAATTGTAAAAGGTAAACCGATAGGTACATTTATTGCTCCGTTCAGAATCTAATAAATAAAAATAAACGAGTGTAAAAAAATAACAAAAACTATTTGGTAATAATACAATTACCATGATTTATGAGTTAGAAAATGTATTCAAATGTTTTTTACTAGCTATGCATTTTGAAAATTAGGTAACTATACCTATCTACTTGTTGAATTAATATTCCATGACATTAACGTGATTTTAAATGCCTATACATATAGCTTAAAATAATTTAAAATTTGTTTAACTAATATATATTTTATTAAATTGTAATTAATGTTTTTTAAATAGTATAAATAATACTTATATAGATATAAGCCGATTTTTTTTTAATTCCGGTAAATGAACCTTGTACAATTATTGTATTTGATTTTCAAACCTAGGTATTAAAATTTTTTAAAAAAAGCTGGTAAGTGGATGTCGCTCTGCTGTATGGTAGGTTACAAGTGGGTAACTGTAATAGATAATATTACATTTGAATTCAATAATATAAAATCATTGTACACGAAAAACGATTCTAAGCGAAGACGGTCAGTTTATAATATTACTTGGGATATTTGATGATATTATTGTGATTAAATCAATTAATTAATTTTACTAATGGGCATTAGTACTACAGTAAATAAAATTAATTTTCGCCAAAAAAAATTACATTTGAAAAGTCATTGTGTGTGTACAATATAACAATGTACCTACTCCAAAAATAAAAGTACCGACGAATAATATTTTAAAATTGCAATAAAATAACTAAAATGCTTGGGTTAAATAGGTAATTTCGTCCAAATTTGAACTTAAAATAACTATAAAAATACCGTGTTAACTGTTATTATATTTTTCAAATTTTTTGGTAACAGAATTAAATATTTTTGTACAAAATTGTTTTAAATTGTTGATTCTTAGCTATAAAAGTTGATAAATGTATAAATATTTAAATACAAAATAATTTGTAAATTTTCATTTTGTTAAAACAAATATTGTACAAACAATTGTGACTTTGTAGTTTAATATTTTTCAACTGCAAATTGTAACAATATATTAGGTACCTATTAGGAGCCTTGTATTAAAATTTCAAGATATTTGACCCAACGAATAAAATTTTATTGACATTAATAGAATAAAAATGTAAACAATTCTGAAACTGAAAATGCCCGTAAACAGCTCAAAACAAATCAAAATATTTTTTGTGTATAGAAAATGCTAATATAAATATTCAATGAACATTTAATGTATCTTCTGTAATTTTTTTAAGAGTTACACCAAAAACTAAAATCGGTTTTGTTGAAAACCGATTTTGAGTAAAAATTTCCGTTTTTTCTTAATTTATTTTTTTGGTGTTTCCCGGCGTTTTTAAAAACTATTGGGAATTTTAAATCTTGACATTGCGAATGCACCAGCTAGATTCACTTTCCCTCAGGTAAAGTTACCTAAATGGAATCAAGAAGCACTATTTCGACTATTTATCTTGACACGGATACAAAAAATAATTTTAAAAACACTTCATTGTAAAATCAATAGGTACATTCATCGCTAATCTCAGAGTCTAAGAGTGATCAAGTATCCGCTCAGCTGAACAGTAGATTTTGATTTCACCTCGTCATTGATAAATATACAACTGTAATAGATGTTTAATGTGTTAAATATTGTGTTAGATTTTCATACCTCAAGAATAAAAAAAGTGGTCAAGTATATCGGCTCTGCTGTTTAGTAAGTAGCAAGTTTATCTCGTCATTGAGTAGGTAAATCACTGTAAAAAATGTGTCAAATTGAATGATGACATTTCAATGATAAATAATCGCATTCCTACGGGCTCAGAAAAACGATTTAGAGTGAATACGGTGCAGTGTCAGCCTATATAATTACTAGGGATAATGTAGTATAATATAATATAATATTCATATAGGTTGTAAAATGTATTGTTTCAAATTGAATCAATAAATAAATATTTCATTTTTTATTAACCTAAGACAGCCGTAGGTTGAATTAATTTTGAAAATAACATAAGATTTGTCATATTTTTAAATATTATAATAGTATCTATTATTTGTATTATATATTATTGTTATTCAGTTGTGAGTCAATACCAAATCACCGTGGTAAGTGTAGAACGGTGTGAATAGGTCCGTGGTATAAATAAGCAATTGCTTAAATATGTTTAAATATAAAATATAAAATATAATTAAAATTATTTAATATTTAGAAAATTATCATATACATTTAGTGAAAATGTCTAGTCTATATTAATTTAAAATTACAACAAAAAGATTTAAATTGATTAAAGTGAATTTCGGCATGTATTTTTTGGTTGTAGATAAGCTAGATCTATTTTTTTAAATTAATATAATAATATTTGGATGGGCGGAATGAAATATTTTGAATTGAGTTTTCCATCCAAACGTTTCACGAAAACATGTAACTAACACAGAATCACAGTCATTAAATTGTTATAATATTATACCTATTTTCATGGAAAAGAATCAATAAGGTAAATCATTTTTATATAGGAAACCAATTAGTACACTTTATTATGACCTCTGAACCAATTCCAGAATTCTTGCCCTTCTGCGTAAAAAAAATATACGTCTTTATCGACAATCCTTTTGTAAAAGCAATTTACCTAACTATCCAATTATACGTCTTACAGTAGTAATAATGAATTAATAACTTACACATTTACAAATAAATAGTTTTTTTCAAACACATTTTTTAACACTAAAATTATTCTAGTAAATGGGACTATTTTATTATTTTCCCAGTAAAAATATTAATTGAATAAGGTAACATTAAAGGACAGAGTAGGTATAATAATGTCACAAAACGTATTTTTGAATACAATGATACAGTGATACCTCCTGCAGTCCAACTTAAATAATGGATAATATATGACTTGATTATTCAATACCTAAATACTTAAAAATTCAAGGCAAAGATATGTGGTTGTTACATAGGGGTTTTATAGACTTCAACGTTTTAATATTAATTGCTCCAGACATTTGTTTTTATTATTCCGTCGGCTATTGATATATACTATAAACTATAAAGTGTGGAAGAATAAAACAATAAAATATTAAATAATAAACACTGTAGGTAACTGAAACATTTTTTTTACAAAATAAATATAATTATAATTTTTTTGAAAAAATGATTTACTGCCAGTTTAATATACTTCTAAGTGAAATTATCAATTATTGTTTTATTTGAAGATATACCTAATCGTCAAAAATGTATGTTATATAATATATATATATATCAATTTTTGATTTTTCTGGTTTTATACATGTTCAGCCCTTTTGTATGAATAAGTTAGTATTTTTAAATTTAATATGTGAAAACAAAAGTATATTAGGATGCGCTTTATTGAATTGTGAGTTATGTTTTAAATGAAACGATTCGCTACAGTTAGCTGTTTGTTCTGATAGTATTAAACGATGCCCAAATTTCAGATTAAATGTTGATGTTTCATACATTTTATTATCACGGAATTGTTTAGCTTGTCATCATCAATCTAATAAATCAATTTAATTTTAACTACATGGGCCGGCGGAATCAATTTACAAAAAAGTTTGGTGGAGAGATAGCAGGTGCAATCGATAAGAAACTTATCGGTACAAATCTAAAAAGGTCATTTCGATGAAATCGATATACGCCTGTTGTGGTCTTTTAACCTATAAGTATACTTTTGTTCAATATTTGGCACTTTTGCGTTATAAATATTTACTTTTAAGCAATTATATTGGTGGGATACACGCGTCACTCAAAAATGAAAATTTTTAACAATCGTGGTGGTGGTGCCATGAAATGTGTTTGCTAGCTAAGATAGCGAAAAACTTAACGGGACCTTATAATACTAATACTAATTCAGTTTATATTTTTTTTTCGGGGATGGAAAACGTTTTTAAAAACATTTTTTAACAAAAATAACTCGAAAAAGAAAAACAACTGAAAAAGATAACAAAAAGATACCAACAACCGAAAAAATATTTAAATTAAATTAAAAACAAAAACGAAAATAAATTATTCTACGATAAACAAAAATAATAATAATTCTGTTATCGAAAAATTGAAAAATGCAATAATTGCATATTAAACTTTTGAGTTAAAGGATTATTTTTGTTTTTTAATCTTGAACTAACTCTGTGCTTCAAATTAACAATGCTCTTTTAAAATTTAAGGAATTTTTAATTTTTAATTTTCATATAAATTAATAATTTGGTATTATAATTTAAATTTAAATACTATGAATAATCAATTTCAACTTTGAAGTACTATATATTGAGCATTTATTATAATAAGAACTTTTTAACAAAAACAAAATTATAAAAAACAACCTTTTAAAAATGTTCAATAAAATTGTTTTCCATCCCTGGTTTTTTTTTAAATAAGTGTTAGTTGTAGCCCGTTAGTTTATAATACCTAATACCTATACACTACAAAACTATACATATGACATATTAATATGTATATGAACAGTGTCTGTTGTCCTAAAAGTTACTAAAAAGTAAAGTTAAGATTTTTATACTTTAATTAAATGTTTTTTTTTAAACATATTTGACATTTGGATGTATTATTCCTATAAGCATGCAAACAATATTATTACTATAGATTTCTTGTTTATTATTATATTATTTAGTATTATTGAACCAAGGTATCTGAAATACTG